TATTATCAGCATAACAATTCGAGTAAATGTGTAAACGGTATGGCATGAATTTGCCATCCTTCTAGAACAATGTGCATTTATGTTAAAATTGTAACATAAATTATCAAGTTTAGTTATTTTTATTTCTTTATGGCAAAACGCTAAAACCGGCACTGTTTTGGAGAGAAATGGGCTCTCATTTTAACCCATATCACGGTGTGTGATCACTGTGATGCTGAACTATGAGTTTCTAATGGTGTTTGTATTTGCACTGTTCTAAACATTAATATTTTATGTGCAACAACAGCATAATGCTGTCTCAGTGGCCTTACACATGATTTTAAATCTAGTTTTTCGAACTTTATGATTTAAATGGGGATGATTGTACTGAGAATAACTTTCATCTTTTCTTCAACTGAATACTGTTTCCGTGCTGTTTTGATGTATTTTAAAGAGTTGGCAGTCAAAATTAAAACTGCTGGATGAAATATATTCTTCATTCTTTATGACAAACAAGATAATGTGAATTACAGAATGTACAACGTTTTAAAAATGTATAAATTGCGGTGTACAGCATTTATTATGAGGGGGTAGAATCCACAGCTCAGTACTCACTACTCAATACTCATTAATACTTTTAAATAGGCTACTCTTTTACTCTTACTCAAGTAGGTTTTTGGACTAGTACTTTTACTCTACTCACACTACATTTTTTGGAAGGTAATGGTACTTTTACTTGAGTATATTTTTTCAGTACTCTTTCCACCACTGATAATAACACTGCGGATCACATGACATGCTCTCTTAATTATCAAAATTCACTGTCTAATGTGGCTTGGTTCCGTTTTGTAAAAATTGGATTTCACATGTTTCTTACAGTTCAACTAATGCCCATCACAAATATCTACAGATCAGAACTGTATGTTCTTGTATGTAATATGTACAACTATACAGCAAACTACATTTTGATGTGTTGAAGATGGCAGTCATTTGTCCGCTTTCTTCAGTAAAACAGATGCGTGTCTCTGTGTAAGAATTTTGGTTTCCTTCACTGACCTGTTTGAGTTGAGGAGCCGTGCTGACTGCGAACAAACAGAGAAACAGTCAGAACGTCACCAATCGCATTCATCATTCATGAATCAGAACGACAGAAAGCAGAGATGAAATACTAGCGGATCCAGACGGCGGCGGTGCTCCGGCTTTCTGCCACTCGGTGGCCTCCACCGCCATCCTGCGCACGAAAGCCTCGTCCACACACATGAGGATGTTCTCCGGTTTGATGTCCGTGTGGATGATCTTACACTTACTGTGAAGGTAATCGAGGCCCTGCAGAACCTGCAGCCAAACCACAGACACAAGCGTTCCTCAAGTGAATCTAGTCCATACTGAACCACCGCTTCTTCAAGGAAATAAAATGATGATTTCACACTGAAAATACCAAACGTATTCTGTGGTTAATCTGTGGTACCATAATCAACTAACCGGAGTTACTGTCTGACTGTCACTGTGTCCCAATTCAGAGGCTGCATTTGAGAACCGAAGTCTGCTTCAAATATGGCCTCGTATTGCATCCTTCCTTTTCAGAACAGATGGATGTTTCGCAATCCAGATGATCCCAAGAATCATTGCAAGCCGATGATGGCAGGACTTTTTTTTTTTTTAGATAAAATGCTGGATTACACTTTTAAATACAAGTATTGTGTTTCAACTTATTCAGATATCTAACGTTACTAAAAAAAAAACTTAAATGTTGACATAACTTACTTATGCGATTTTACAGATAGTACTTTATGTAAAAAAAGTGATTCATCACTTTTTTCTCCAGAGCTGCTTTATTGATTAATTCAACTCATTCGATAATTGATGGGCTTTACAGAGTTATTGAATTGAACTGAATCAACAATGAACTGATTTCAACTGACTGGTTCAACTTCAAAGGTTTACTATTGTCTTTTTAGAGCTGCAGAACTGTTTGCATCACTGAATCACTCATTTCTTGTTTATCACTGTAAAGCTGCTTTGAAACAACCTGGACTGTATAAAGTGCAACAGAAATAAAGGTGACTTAACTTGACTAATTAAATGGACCATGGTGAACATATTCAGACAGGCTGTTGTTTTCAGACAGTTGAATATCACTTTTAAAACAGTCCAGTACAAACGTTCCTGCCGCTCATCAACCGCAGCTGTCACAGTTGCTGGCGACAAGAGCAATCCTCTGTAGGCTAGACCGTCCCATTCAAGGATGCTCAGATCGACCTCTGTGACCTTCGCAGGATGCAGCCTCTGAAGTGGGACGCGGCTAACAGGACATTCTGTCAGTCATTTGTGTTCCGTTTCTTGTAGCTCCGCCCACGGTTAATCTCATTGGCTCAAAGCATCTCCAGGCAGCTGAATATGAAACATTGAATACATGCTGACGCTGTTGTTTCATGAAGTGCTTCACTTCCACTGGATGCTGGAGACCTGTGTTTATGTGCATGGCTCAGTTAGGATTCGGGAAGTGTGTGTGATTACCTGTCTAATGATGCTCTTGACGCAGGGTAACGGCAAACCCTGATAATTTGACTTGATGATCCACTTGAGCAAATGATGACCAAGAACTTCAAACACCATGCACACGTCTGAGAACCAGAGTTAAAGAAAACCACTGACTCACACACACACACACACACACACACACACACTCACACACACACTCACTCACTCACTCACTCGCTCACTCACTCTCTCACTCACTCACTCACTCACAGACACACACACTCATACACACACTCACACAGACACACACACACAGACACACACACACACTCACACTCACACAGACACAGACACAGACACAGACACACACTCACACACACACATACACACACACACACTCACATGCAGGCTGTGAGGATACGAATCCCGTTCACCCCTGAGATCTTGAAGTCGTCTATGAGTTGAACAACCATGTCCTTATTAGGATCATCAGGATCAGTCTCACGCACCTGAGAGACAGCGAGAGAGAGAGAGAGACAGGTGTGTGTACAACTGCGTCTGAAATCTGAGAATTGCTGCGTGAATCGCTATTTTGCTCAACATGTATAATCCTGATTATATTTGACATTTGAGGACTTTTCCATTTAGTCAGAATTATTGCACTTCCACGTAAGCACAGATCAAGACCACATCTACTCATATGCATGGTTTAATTTACCTCATCCAATTTCCTGATTTATTACTTTTTATTTATTATCATTACGATTTAGCTCATCATATAAATAAACAGTCTCTACATTATGAAGTCTGGTAAAAGCTTGTCTCAAAAGCTAAACCTGTGAAATTCCTAATATTAACTTCAATTTCCAAATTATGTTAATGTTTTCCTAAAGACAAAAAAACAACAAAAATGACTTCATTTGTGACACAGAGGCCATGTATGTGCATCTATTCTGCAACCGCAAAAGCAAACATGGTTGCCAGATTGGGTCACAGACACACACACACTCATACACACACACACACACACACACTCACACTCACAC